AACACAAGGTTGAATAGGGCTGCAAGGTCTAAGAGGTGCAACATCACTTGACGGAATAGGACACGGATCAGAAATTCCCTCCACTTCTCTCAGCATCTCTGTTTGCCTACTAAGCCCATCTACATGGGCCATGTTTGACCCTGGCCTATGGGCTATCGAATAATTAAAACTTTCTAACTCAAGGGACCAACGGGCAATACGGGGACTTATAGACTTTTTACTTAAGGTTTGAAGGAATTACAGTCGGTTACTATTAAAAAGGGTTTATGCTCTCTCTCAGTATATTCGGAAACGGCGCAAGGCGTATATGATTGCCAAGGTTTCGAGTTCAAAACTGTGATAGCGAGACTCGGCTGCAGTGGCCTTTCTCGGATAGAAAAAAACAGGGTGTAGTTTCTTATCCGGCTGTCGCTGCATCAAAACAGCACCAAACCCGTGGGAACTTGCGTCCTTGTGCAATTCGGTTTCATACTGCGGATTGAAGATTGATAGCACAGGAGGACTCGACAACGCTGTCCTTAGCTGCAGGAATGCTCTTTTTTCGGAATCCGACATGGGAAATGGTCCCCCTTTTTTAAGAAGGTCGGTCAAAGGCTTTGCTACACGCGAAAAATTGGGAACGAACTTCCTAAAATAAGAGAATAAACCAAGACAGGAATGTAACGTCTTGCTATTAATTGGTTCCGGGTATTGTTTTATAGCAGTTAAGTGTGTATCATTAGGCAGAATTCCTTGAACACTAACATCATAACCTAGGTAATCTATTCGCTTCTGCAGGAAACTACTTTTCTTAAAATTTATCTCAAGGTTAAACTCCACGAGTCGATCAAACAACCTAGCTAATATCTTTTTATGCTCTTCTACGAAATACGATGCTAAAGTAATATCGTCCATATAAACAACAATCTGTCGGTTTCTTACAAAGTCTCTCAAAGCGTCGGAAATAAATCTTTGGAAAACAGCGGGACCATTTTTAAGTCCAAAAGGCATCCTCAAGTATTCGAACTGCCCGTCTGGAGTCACGAAGGCGGAATATTTTACAGATTCTTCTTCAACACCTATGTGGTGAAAGCCACTCTTAAGGTCAATAACGGAGAACACGGATTTACCTTCAAGGTATTCTAAACAGTCTTCAATGAGGGGTAACGGAAAATTATCTCTAGCGGTCTTCTTATTCAATCCACGGTAATCAACACACATTCTCACATTTCCATCTTTTTTTTAACTAAAACCACGGCTGAAGCATATGGCGAATTACTAGGTCGGATGATTCTATTGGCTAAAAGATCACTAACGGTTTCGGAAACTATTTCTCTCTCACGATATGACAATCTTCTAGGGGCACAATAAAATGGTGTAGAATCAGTAAGACGAATGCACATTTTGCATTTTGGCACACCATAACTTTTAGAAAACCTATCAATGTATTGTTTATATATTATTTCACGACACTCTCGCATTGAGGCACCACCAGACTCACTGCCTACTTTAACTACGTCATCTTCATTCGATACCCTACAATTCGCGAAATCTTGCATCCATTCTTGAAAGATCTGAGGCTTTGCCGGGGTTGCAGGTGCGTTCACACTTAAATAATTTTCTCTACTTGTCATTATGATGTTATCTAACTTATTTGTACTAGTAAATAGGGAAGCACAAATTAAATCGGTAGATAATGCAATAGTTTTGTTTAATAATAACTTATTAAGATCTGTTTTTATAACATTTTTGCGTTTGACTAATTTAAGCTATAAGAGTTTTAGTACATCTCTGCCTAGAAGTATTGGCGTAGGTAGAATAAAATTAGGAATAACAAAAGCTTCAATACTGTAATATTCTTCTTGAAACAAAAGGACTATCTTAATTTTTCCAAATGTCAAAATATTTTGGCAGCTTAGGCCGCGAAATCTGCTCTTTACTAGGTGTTCATTCTTTACTGCTTGTGGAATAACTCCTCTACTAACTTATTAAGATCTGTTTTTATAACATTTTTGCGTTTGACTAATTTAAGCGATAAGAGTTTTAGTACATCTCTGCCTAGAAGTATAGGCGTAGGTAGAATAAAATTAGGAATAACAAAAGCTTCAATACTGTAATATTCTTCTTGAAACAAAAGGACTATCTTAATTTTTCCAAATGTCAAAATATTTTGGCCGCTTAGGCCGCGAAATCTGCTCTTTACTAGGTGTTCATTCTTTACTGCTTGTGGAATAACTCCTCTACTAACAAAACTCACGGGGCTTCCGGTATCTAGTAACGCAAAAATGTTATCAACATCAATGCATCCCTCTTCACTAAGTATTCTTATGCTTACTAATTGAATGTATGGATTTCCATCAAATTCGTTGAAGACGGAAAAATATTTTCAAAAGTTAGCGTCGAAAATAACGTATGGGGCGCGCCATGTGGTGAGAAGGTCGATATGCGCCAGTGTTAATTAATTGGGGTCGGAAATATAAACACATGATTTTCTCAAAATCTGCCGGGTAGAATTCAATAAGACTTAATTCGAAATTAGAGAAAAATGTCCCCTTTCGTTTGATATACCGTGCATGTTGGCACAAATTCGTTGAGGACTGCAAAATATTTTCAAAAGTTAGCGTCGAAAATATCGAATGGGGCGCTCCACGTGGTGAGAAGGTCGATATGCGCCAGTGTTAATTAATTGGGGTCGGAAATATAAACACATGATTTTCTCAAAATCTGCCGGGTAGAATTCAATAAGACTTAATTCGAAATTAGAGAAAAATGTCCCCTTTCGTTTGATATACCGTGCATGTTGGCACAAATTCGTTGAGGACTGCAAAATATTTTCAAAAGTTAGCGTCGAAAATAACGTATGGGGCGCGCCACGTGGTGAGAAGGTCGATATGCGCCAGTGTTAATTAATTGGGGTCGGAAATATAAACACCTGATTTTCTCAAAATCTGCCGGGTAGAATTCAATAAGACTTAATTCGAAATTAGAGAAAAATGTCCCCTTTCGTTTGATATACCGTGCATGTTGGCACAAATTCGTTGAGGACTGCAAAATATTTTCAAAAGTTAGCGTCGAAAATAACGTATGGGGCGCGCCACGTGGTGAGAAGGTCGATATGCGCCAGTGTTAATTAATTGGGGTCGGAAATATAAACACCTGATTTTCTCAAAATCTGCCGGGTAGAATTCAATAAGACTTAATTCGAAATTAGAGCAAAATTTTCCCCTTCGTTTGATATACCGTGCATGTTGGCACAAATTCGTTGAGCATTGCAACTATTTTTTTTTAAATTTAGCGCCGAATTTAGATGGTGTTTGTTACCAGGGGTGCATAGTGATACCGAGGTATTTACAACAATAATTACAAATTCGGGTAATAGCTTATTTCTCCCAAAAGACTGGACGAATTTTGATGAAACACCTACCAAATTTCTTAGAATGGCGGTATCGTTAATTGGGCAGTTAATTTATTTAATATTAAGTTCCATAAATTGCTTATGTTCTTAAATCTAGTATTTCTTTAACATGGTTCCGCTGTCTGGTTCGGCAACTGGTTCTCTGCAGGTTCACAGCTGGTTCCATTTTCAAAGTTAGCGCCTCTGTTATCAGCTCACCTACACCACCCACTGCTATGCGATTTTCTCAAAAACTGACGGATAGAATCTTATGAAACTTTTACCAAATATTCTTTAAACTTCCCTTAATAAGCCAGTATACCGTGCATATTGGCACAAATTCGTTAACTGGAGTTATAGGAGTTACAATTTTTTCTGCCCCATTTTGTATGGAGCGAAACCCGAGGTTAGTTTACTGTTACGCAATTTTCTCAAAAACTTATAGATAGATTTTAATGAAACTTTGCAGGATGAAACTACAATAAATGTCCTTTATCCTGGCATACCGGGTATATCTGCACAAATTCGTTGAGCCGAGATATAAACAAAATTGCGAAAACACGATTTTTCGAATGCTTTTTTTTAATAGACCGAAAGGTCAAATCCCCTCAAACCCAGTAAAAATCAATAGTAAATTCATTTTTAAGCATTTATAAACTTTATTTTGTTCAAATTAGTGCCTTATTAACGAAATAAATAAAAAATAAAAAATCCCTCAGTGTTCCATTTTCCCACCGTTCCGTTTCGACGCTAACTCACCGACGCTAATTTGACGGACATATTGAAAAATGTATTAGCCAGCTCATTGACAGTATGGTCTTACAATGAGAATTTTATTTTTATATAATTTCGCTGGTTTTTTGAACTGAAAAAAATATTAGAAAATTAGGAAAAATAATATGTTTTGCGGTGGCAAGGTTCTTTTTTGGTAATAATTAAAAAAAATTTAAGCATCATAGGTTAAAAACATAAATTTAAACGATTCTGCATTTATTTATGCAAGAATACTTCGACGAGGAATTCAGAAATCCATAGTAATACGCCGCGAATGGCGGCCGTTTTTTTTGTTTACCTTTTACGGTCGGTGTGACCGTAGTCGTATTACCAAAATAATCCAAGCAAAATCCAAGCCAAATTACACAAAATTACACATATAGTGGTCTCTTTCAAGGTTCTAATGAAGTAGCTAATTAATGAAAACTGCATTAGTGTATCATATGGGCATGAGGGCGGCTGTTCGCACACGCTTAGGGCACCGCCGATATTGGTGTCCAGTCTCGAAGCAATGAAAACAAGCTCCCTCCGGTCGCTTCGGTTTTTCGCACTGGCTGCTGAAGTGCCCCATCGCTCGGCAATTAAAGCACCTTACGTTTTCGACATCTCCTCCGGCATGTGTAGGTTTTGTTGCAGGCACCAGCCGCAAAGGTGCAACTGGACGTACCACTCCCGATGTCTTCCGCTTGTCCTCAGGCTGTACCATCTGGTAACGCATCATCTTCTCGCGAAGCTCATCTAGGGAAGCGCAATAATACAATGGCGCTGCGCATCCGGAATGATCCTGCAGACCATCAACAATGTATTTTATGATGTCTGTTTCCTCAAAGGTTCCTTGTTCCGCAATGTGACGCATCGCGATAAAATACTACAACAACGATTCGTTCTCCAGAATTGAACGACTCTGTAACTGCTTTGCCACCTGGTGATTGGTCATCCGGAATCCGAAGGTTTTTAGTAGGCTTTCGCTTAGCTCCTTCCAAGTAGCGGGTTTCTCGAACATCACGTATGAGCGGGCCGAACCCTCCAGCATTCGATTGCCCAACAGCCAACGTTGAGAGCTGCTTAATCCGTGCGCAACTGCAGCAAGCTCGAAGTCACGAATCCAAACGTGCACAGACATGTTATCGTCTCCAGAAAATTTTCTTAAACTAGCCTCAAGGTCCCTGACATCAACAACGGACTTGCAGTCCAGCGAATTGCCTTCCAAGGCGGCAACCTTCGCCTTCAACTCCACGAGATCCTTTCGTGCTGTATATAGCGTCATCTGCTTCATGATTTCGGCCATCTCGTTTGGCCCTCGATCCTCCTGCTCGCACTCCCTTCCCACGACGCTCTCCGCTCTGCTCTCTGCCACGCTATTCACAACGCTCTCCGCCACGCCAATGTCGTCGTTCAGCTCTCCGGCTTCCATCAAGGCGGCATCATCCTGGTCGACAACCATAGCCTTTACCATTCCCCGCAACTGGTGAATGTTCTCCTTCCCGGTCAACGGCACGTGATTCTCAGAAAGCCTTTTAGATAACTTCTCCATCGTCAGGTTGAGTATGCCGGCGTATTTCATATCTAAGAAATTAAAAAGAAGTATTTAAAAATAAAACAATTTTTTTTAGCAAATATAACATACCTTATGCTTAATATTGCATTTAACGTTTTTAAATGCATTTTGTTCCGCAATTTGGTTTTCACAATATTCATTTGGCTAAAGGCATTGGACCACGGTAACGAAAGCATTTGGATTGCAAATAAGGAAAGGGACCCGAATGGTTGACTTCCTGCAGCATCCTTGTAGTCCATTGCCTCTCCCTAAATTTCTCTGTATCATTAATATTATCCCATTTAATGAGATGAATTTTGTCAATTTGGGATTTCAGTTCCTCAATATTTGTTATATTAAAATATTTTAATGAATTCCAAAACATTTTTTTGGGATCGCAAAATATTATCAACTGAAAATATGTTAACCGTTTTTAATATTTCGAAGTTTTCGATGACACTATCGATTAGAAATAAATTCATGATCACATGAAATGCACATAACCATCGGCAAAAAATAAACAAGCGCCGATATTTTTATGCCATAAAGAATATGTTTCTTACAAATCAAACCGTTGATGTCGCAAATACATTTAGAGCTAGAATATGCTATATTTATTATAAAATAAGCTATATTTCAAGCTATAAGCTAGATGCAAATTTTACAATCTTTTCCAGTTTCAAAAATGCTAGAACTAGCTTACAATAAGCTAAAGTGGCAACACTGCAACTATCTACGTTATATATCTTGGATTATATGGGTCTACGACTACGACTACGGTAAACAATCAGGCCTGCTCCGGTAATCGTAAAATTTTTTCGATTTCGTTTTGGACGAAAACGAACCGTTTTTGTTTTTAGCTGCTCCGGTTTTCGGCAAATTTCTGTTATCGGAATGTTTCGTTTTCTCATCGTTTATCACTGCTCAAGCAGCTAACTTGTGTTTTTGGTAATAAGCAAACAACGTAAAGTACTGCCTATTATATTTACAATTGCCCTTTTTATAAGCCAGAAAAAGGCAAAAAATGCTAGAGTTAAGCAAATCTAGGCATCTAAGATGCTGCCACACTTTTCACAGTTTTAATTCCGGTGGTCTCAAATAATTATTTGGTTAATTTGGACCATTTAAGTAATCACATTAAATAGCATTATTTATAAACAACCATTTTGGCGGTCCTTTAAAGTTATTAATGTATTCATTTATATTTTATAAGTAACTGGCTGTTTCGTTCCACCAACAATATGGCAAACTTTGCGATAACTTTTTGCGGTGAACTTATCGACCTATCGCCAAAACGAGAAAACTGGTTGAACACGGCAACAATTTTGTTGTAAAATCTGAGGTGGGGTCAGAAATAAATTATTTATAAAATAACTACGTGCCAGAATGATCTTGTGGTGGTGTGGAATAAACATCAACAGACCACTGAATAAACTATTTTTTTCTTTTTTTAAATAAGCAGGCCTGCTCCGGTAATCGTAAAATTTTTTCGATTTCGTTTTGGGCGAAAACGAACCGTTTTCGTTTTTAGCTGCTCCGGTTTTCGGCAAATTTCTGCTATCGGATGTTTCGATTTCTCATCGTTTCTCACTGCTCAAGCAGCTAACTTGTGTTGTTGGTAATAAGCAAACAACGTAAAGTACTGCCTATTATATTTACAATTGCCCTTTTTCTAAGCCAGAAAAAGGCAAAAAATTGTAGAATTAAGCAAATCCAGGCACCTAAGATGCTGCCACACTTTTCACAGTTTTAATTCCGGTGGTCTCAAATAATTATTTGGTTAATTTGGACCATTTAAGTAATCACATTAAATAGTATTAATTATAAACAACCATTTTGGCGGTCCTTTAAAGTTATTAATGTATTCATTTATATTTTATAAGTATTTTTAACTGGCTGTTTCGTTCCACCAACAGTATGGCAACCTTAGCGATAACTTTTTGCGGTGAACTTATCGACCTATCGCCAAAACGAGAAAGCTGGTTGAACACGGCAAAAATTTTGTTGTCAAATCTGAGGAGGGGTCAGAAATAAATTTTTTATAAAATAACTAAGTGCCAGAATGATCTTGTGGTGGTGTGGAATAAACATCAACAGACCACTGAATAAACTATTTTTTTCTTTTTTTAAATAAGATCTGATTTCATATAAAAAAGCCATTTACTTTTCATTCCGGCCAGAAAAAGGTGCCCGTTTTTCAAATCGAAAAAATCTTTCGATTTCGATTACCGGAGCACCAATTTCTCGTTTTCAAAAACGAAAACGAAAAATTCTTGCCGTTTTCGATTACCGGAGCAGGCCTGAAGATCTGATTTCATATAAAAAAGCCATTTACTTTTCATTCCGGCAAGAAAAAGGTGCCCGTTTTTCAAATCGAAAAAATCTTTCGTTTTCGATTACCGGAGCACCAATTTCTCGTTTTCAAAAACGAAAACGAAAAAATCTTGCCGTTTTCGATTACCGGAGCAGGCCTGAATGAAAACGGCCGACATACGCTGCATATTACTATGAATTTCTGAATTCCTCGTCGAAGTATTCTCGCATTAATATATGCGGAAACCTTTTAATTTATGTTTTTAACCTATAATGCCTCCAACTTTTTTTAATTATTGCCAAAAAAAAATATTTAAATTAATTTTACAGCGCAAGAACCTTGCCACAGAAGACATAATATTTTTTCTAGTTTTCAAATATTTTTTTTATCAGTTCAGAAATCAGCAAAATAAAATTCAAATAAGATTCTCATTTCGAGACACTTTGAGTTTCGCGCTCTAATAAACTGGCTAATACAATTTCCAATTACTATTTTCACAATTCATTTATAGGGTCTTCCCACACACCCTCAAAGCGCATCCACCGTCGGTTGAACAAACGGTCGATAAGGTTTTGCCGTTTCGAATTTTCCCAAATGGACCGGCATCAAAGCGCATCTAAATCTTAAGACTGTTTGTTTGGCGACAGTTAGGCGAAAATTGAAAAATGAAATTTAAAATGTGGCGCCAAAAACCACAAACATACCCAAAATAGTTGTTGGTCTTTTTCTGTATATTCTTGTCCCTAAATGTCACCAATTGTTACCATTTAATATAAACCGCCTACCTGTACTTTTTTAAAAGATTTTGGATGCCTATACCATCTATAGACACTCTTCGGGGAATTTGCTCTTTGTTAGAGAAAAATCATTAGAGAAACTAAAATTCCATTTCATTTAATTCATTTAAATTTAGTGCGGATAAATTCTGACGCAATCTGTTCTTTTGCGGTTGTACAACAGCCAAAATAGTTGGTAAATGCTCCATTTCAATTTGCAACTGCCAATTCGACAGCCTTTGTTTACGTTTTCATGAGCCACAGCTGATCGATCAGCTGTTCGGATGCATATGCACTTTGCTCTGTGGGAACATGAGTTTCGCATCTGCGATAAAACCCAACCGTTCTTCACAGATGCGCTGTGTGGGAAGACCGTATTAAACCGTTCTTTGTTATCGTTCCAAATCTAGTATCTAGTATATTTTATGTAGATCTATCGATTTACGCGGAAATGAAGTAGCTAATGCATTATTCTTATGCATTAAAGAGACATATGTATAGTCGCCTTGCTCGTACTTGTGTAAAACGCTATAGCGCTGCCAAATCTTTAATGAAATCTCTAATTAATCCGCTAATGTCATAAAAGTATAAAGGAAATAAATAGTTTACTCAGTGGTCTATTGATGTTTATTCCACACCACCACAAGGTCGTTCTGGCACGTAGTTTTTTTTATAAAAAATGTATTTTTGACAACTCCGGCTGCGGAAAATCCTTTATCTGAACTCTCCTCGTGGGTGCCGGCTGGGCAATGGACACTGTATTAACCCGGATACGGGTAATGCATCGCTGCCTGCTCCGTCCGCGATAATACAATGTCTAGCAAAGGCTACGGTTCAATTCATTCTGTCCAAAAAGCCGAAAGAAATGAACCATTAGCAATGGCTGGAGATGCCTGGCTGCAGGCATAAAACGCAAGTGAAGAATAAACCATTCTGGAGGGTTTAAAAGATGAAACCGGGGCTGGGATATCAGCCCAAACGTCATTGGAAGGCGTGACCGCTACCACCGGCGGACACGGGGGGAGCAATCCTCTCGCCAGCGGTTACACCTCTGATGTGACTATAGGAGGTCATGTCAGTTGCAACGCTACTGCCGAAAAAACGACGCAGGGGAAGTTAAGCTGCTCACGTGCCATAGTCGATACAGACTCGGACCTTGAGAGCATGCAGCTTTCTTCACTCGCCGAAACCAGGCACCAGCTCCCAGCGCAGGGACGGGCCAAAGCGGTCAAGCGAGGGAATGAAGGCTAAGGCGCAGTACAAGGCTGCTCTCCGCATCCAGAATTGGCTCCAGGAAATAGCCTTCCAATCTCCAGAGGAGAAGGTAAATTTTACCTGGGCCGAGGAGAGGTTCGCTGAAGGGAGGCTTCACTTCGCCAAAAAAGGTGGAGGAGACGCTTGCCAACAAGCAGCGACGCTCAGCCGAGAGCACCTGTATGGACGCACCGGGGAGCAAGCGGCAACGCGGGCCTAAGGAGGCAGTCCCTCCCCAAATGGCGAAAAAGCCCAAAAAGATCGCATAAGTCAGTGAGGTGACCAAACGACATTTGATCGTGGCAGTCATTGACAGAAGCGATGAAGCCGGCAAGATGACCGAGACGCGGTGGAAGATGGTAAATACGCGGCTCGTTAAGTCATGGTATGCACGGATGGAGGAAGCTCCGGAGTTTCCATGCCCACCTTTGATGGTGCTGCGTGGCTATGTGGGGACAATATCCTGAAGTGCATGGATGACTCGACGAGAAAGTGGCTGACGCAATCGGTCTGCCAGTTGAAGACGCTGTGGGAGTGAGCCAAGCTGGAGGTGGTGGACCGGGAGCTAATCCCATCCATTCCAAAGGCGAAGGTACTCTTCCCCATCGCAATCCAAGTGGACCGGGCGCTGACGCTGCTGCAGCGTCAGAATCCAGATATATCAAATGCGGACTGGAAGGTTCTGCACGTTGCGACCGCATCATCCAACATTCTCTATCCCAGATACGGGAAGATGGCGTGGGGCATGGGTAGCGTATACCTGCGCCTCAAAAAGAGCCATCCTGGGGATAAGGATGCTCACACCATGAAGGCAGGTGTGGTGGAGAAGGACCTAGGTCTGAAAACCATCGATGCCGCCCAGGGAGTGACGGTGGATGAGTCCGTCGAAGTAGAACACGGTGACCTGACCGTAGTAGTCAACCCGTCGTATGGAGGTGACACTCAGGGTGCTGCGGCTCAACCTCCATAAGAGCAGGGTCGCGTCGGCGGAACTCCTCATTATAAATACATATGTGGCATCACGCCACTTTTTCTTTGGCACTTTCATCCTTTCTCCCTTTTCACTCAGAAAACAATCCTAGACAATAGACCTCACTCTGT